CTAATAATATCGGTCGATCTCAGTTTACTGCTAAGTAAAGACCTCCTCAGGCTCTTCCACTGAACAGTACCTTTTGAGTTCTACATCTACACGACACTATCATCCAATCACCGCTCTTGTGAACGTCCTTTTGGTGCTGCTTATCTCTGAAGGTCCGGTTCAGTCAATCACTTCAACACCACAACACCCACCGAAACCTCTCGAAAAATGTTTGGCTTTAGGCGGTTTCATCTCTTCTTGCGCCTCGCATCATACCGTCGAAATTGCGATTTGAGGTACGTTGAGGCATTAAGATTGTAATTCAGCGTAATTACTGCCTATTCCTCATCATCGAGGCACAGAACGCCTAATACATTTGTGAAGTCGTCGCTCAATAATTTGAACGGTAATGAGTTTTTTCGGAAAAAATGCCAGTGAATGATCAACGTTGAAAGGGACATCGAGGCTACGAGCGCTTTATAAGATATACGATGTCGTTAACAGCCATGAAAAGCAACGAACTGAAGGTCAGTAGGTACTTAAATTGACGTTTCAATGGCAAAAGCTCTTGCCATTACAAATAAAGCATAATAAAGCGCCAGTAAACGCGCTAAAGTGAAGAATAACGTTAATGAAGGTACAGAAAAAGCAGCGCACTGAAAAGAAACACTAAAAACTTGTTGCAATGTAATATTTCGAATGAATCAATGTTTTGCAGTTAGATCCAGCCGTTGAAAATTGCCTCATTGCAAAACTTGGGGTAAAATAACTATATCACAAAATTTACGAATCACTTATCTGTTACACTGTTCAACAAACCATGTCGTGTCAGTATCCATCGAGGATTGCACCAAGGTGATGCCAGCCAAATCGTCCTGTTCGTCTCGGCCTTGAAGTTACTCGTCAACTGATTAAACGAGTGCAATGGCATTGGTATTGACGGATATCGGCTTACGCACTTATGATCTGCAGATGACTGCATTGTCTTCATACAGTCCATGACGGAGCTCCCTTTTAAGATCCAGCAGTTCGAGAGGAATTTCTCACCAACGGTCTGGAGGTTAACCTTTCCAAGCTGAGATGGGTGCGAAACTAACACTATCCTGAAGGCTTTATCTACGTGAGTGAAGAAAAACTCAAAGAAGGAACCAGCAGTGTATGGCTTAGCCTTCAGTTAGACCGCCTAAATATGCTATACGGGGAAATTGAACAGAAGAAGGAAGTCGACATTGGCCAGGTTCAATCGCATCTGGCACCGAGCTGCTCATGCAGGCAAAGAAGAAACCGTTCGATTCATCTGTGCTACTCGACATCATTTATGGCACTGAATTTTGGGGAGAACAAACGATGGTCACGCAAAGAGCGATAGAACGAAGAATGAGCAAGGTCCCCTGTGAGATCAGGTTCCGAGTGCACAAATTCGACGAAGGACTGGAGTAGCAGGTGTAGTTCATGCCGTCTAAGACGCCAAGGTAAGATGGATTGCAGCAGAGACATCCGACAGGACTGAAGAACTACAAACCGGTTTCCGCACTGGACCACAAGAGTCCACCGGGATGTCGAAGAACGCAGTAGGACGATTCGGCGGTCACATTATTCGGCCAGCGCTGCAGCCAGGAGTCAAAGGATAGAGA